GGCAAACGTTTAAAAATTATGTCTATCGGAAATAAAAATAAGACTCAGATCTTTTATTTTATTTGAAAGACAATGAGAAAGTAATGTCACACAATAGACAACATTTTTCATTAGATTCTTATAACAACTTACTGATTACTAATGATAATCAAGACAAATTTTTATCTTTTGTTATTATGTGGATACTCAAACACATTCTTCTTACCATTTAGCTACTTTATCAAATCGAATATATTATATATTTCAGTGATTGTTTTCAACGGAATTGTGTACAACTACGCCACAGGTTGAGTATAAGCAAGAATTATAATTTTTAACATCTATTTTTGCATCAGAATATCTATAAATGATTCATTAACCACTCTTTCTGACATATAACCTGCGATGATCTACTAGATAATCTTCGACAAGAAAGACGCACCAGTGCTGAGACTGATTTAACAAATATACAATTTTGTGTTTCTTTCAATTATGATCTCACTCTATACCGAGTATTAACAACTATATTTCTCTTATATGAATCTAAATAAAAATTTACTTACGCAATCATAATTTTATATAAAAATTAAAAATTATGTAAAACATTTACATGACTCTTTTAATTGCATTTATCAGTTCTTTTGACGTAATACTGAATATCTCTGCCGCCTCTCAAATATAAAAAAATACTATTCATAGAAACATTTTTATTAGCTACAAAATATTAAAATTTATCGTGCAAGACAAAGAATAGAATAAAATGGTGTAAGAGACACATGAGTCATTTACAGAAGTTGACAAAAGTCCCGCCCCTAGAGAATCTCAGTCATTATAAAGGCTGGGGGGCCTGAAAACTTGTATGCACATACTCCATCAAGAATACAGATCAGAGGCACAATTTCGCCTCGATTGCTTGAGTACAGAGAGAATTATAATGGATTACAATGGATGGCACTTACTGCGCCTTTGAACTTCATAACTATAAAAAAGATGGAGTTTGTAGGTCAGCTAATGGCTCATTATGCAGCACTTTATTTCAGCTATCCGCGCAACTAATTTCATTGAAGTTCATTAACCCTCTCTAGAACTGTGGCCGTTTTTCTGTGACTATTGGTATGAAGAGACGTCATCTGGTGTCCTTTTGAGACAACAACGTTATAATAATTCCCTGGATGAAGCTTAAACTCTTAGAAAAGCTTCCTATGTAGTTGGACATTAGTACTTATAAGTTTCATAAGGGAACTGTGTATTGATGAGAAATGGCACAACTATGACCATCGTGTTGATGACTTCAAGGATTCCAAAACAATCAGAAACTCCAATATTCAAGCGAATGCACTCATCTTTTGAGTAAAAGAAGACCATAGCTTGAACTACAGCTTCATGCAGAAACATCAAGAATTAATCGTGTATCTGGTAATAAGCAGTGCAAAATTAAGTAGACAGTCCTTATTAGGTTAGAAAGCTCAACACGGAAATAAATACCATTTATCATGATTCTCTTTATATTAAAGCAATTGAGATAGAATTGTGTCTCTGACCTGCATTCTTAATGGTGTATGTGCACACAATTTTTCAGGACTCCATCACTGGCAATGGCTGAGATCCTCTGGGGGGGGGGGGGACTTTTGTTCGCTACTATAAGTATAGGAAAATAGATAAAAATCCAAATAATATATCATTACTTACATTTTGCATTTCTCGAAGTTCGAAAGAAAATAAAGTGATGTAAATGTATAACAGTACAGGATGTTAAAAAACCTTTACGCCCCCCCCCCTTAGCGACATAATGGATCAATGATATAATCAACCATTTTATACCAAATTAAAGCCCGTCAAAAACTGCGTCTAATGGTCTAATTAAAGTAAACAGTAGATAGGACAATTATCAAAATATTTTGGACACATATGAAAATGTCGTAAATTATACAATTTCGAATCTAGCAAAAAACTATTACGTTTTTTTTCACGCATTAAGTACTTGTTGATGGATCGTGGTTTACATCCGTTTGAAATGGTAGTAAATACGTATTCTGTTACAACAGAGTCTTTCCCATTTGATATATTTCTTGTTCGCAATTATTATGTTGGACTGTTACGAAACACGTGCACGAACTGGATAACGTGTTTGTTATTAATCGAAAAGGATTCACTATTCAAGACTAGCAACGAGGAGGAGAAACAGAGAAAAGAATGAGAAGTATAGGTTATGTTCACATCACGCATGCACAGATAGCAGAAGAATGTAGAGAAAAGAGAATGGGTAATTGTAAGCGCTGCTTCAAGGTTTGTCATTTCATTCTTTTACTGTGTGTTTGTTATTCGTGCAACGAATCGTTTCGATAGCACTACAAGTTGAATTAAATATTATCAAAATAGCAACAAGTCTGTGCCACATCAATTTATTGAATCAAAATGGCTAGTCTTCTTCATGATTCAGAAGAGCAACGATTTGTGGACAGAATTCGTTGCACCACGTACCGTGAAATACGGGATTGCAACAACAGGGAGCTCATTTATTACTCGTCAATGGATTTCCAAAAAGCTCTGCCGTAGTGAAGATTGGGTTAGACGACATTGGAATGACACAATCGAAGAGTATTATACACAATTCGGGCGTGGTCGACCTCAGGTACTCTCCCAGGAGAGCAAAAATATCATTACTTCTGCAAGTGGTGTCAGGGGAAGTGGCTTCCGAAAGGTTGCAAGGGAAATTTTGGAGAAAATAGGACAACGAGTGAGTCATGTGACTGTTCATAATGAACGCCATCGACAAGGATTAAAACCTTTCCATGTGATTGCAAAGCCATTGAAGACAAATACCCATATTGAAGATCGCAAATGGCTTGCAAACTTTGTTGCTGATTGGACTGAAGAAGATTTTCTGCATGTCGCACCTTCGGACGAATTTTATATTTATGTGGTAAGGAAACCAAACCTCCAAAATGACAGAATTTGGGCAAAAAATATCGAAGATATCAGCATCGATGAAAGGTATCGTGAAATGATTCAGGATGCGAAATGCATCGGAATTTTTATTATGTTTACTGCAAAGAGACTTCTTTGGGTTCTGAAGGAACATGGACAATCTTGGGATGGAGCTTATTTTCGTGAAATTCTTTTGCAACAACATGTAATTCCATTTCTTCGTGATCCAGCCAATGTTCTTGACACAGATGAAGTTATATTTCTTCATGATAAGGCACCCTGTATGAAGGCCAATGCAACACAGCATCTTTTGGAAGATGAGGCGATGAAGTTCTGGGGGTATTCAATTTGGCCTGGCAATAGTCCTGATATGAACCCAGCAGAAAACATTGGTGCAATTATCAAAGATAAAGTTGAAGAATTAATGTCAAGTGAAGATCGTCAAAACAGATATAATTATGATATTCTCAAAACTAACGTTGAGAATATACTCAAGGATCTCGAAAATGATACGGATCTTTTTATTGATCTGCTGTGTTCAATGAGAAAAAGACTTGATGCTCTCAAAGCTGCTGGAGGAGGACATACAAATTTTTAAACTTTGTTATAAACGCTTATTTGTCAGCATTTTATATTGCTAATAAATTGGAAATTCTATGATTCACAATTTGATTCGATGAGTGGTACGATAGTTTTTTGCTAGATTCGAAATTGTATAGTTTACGACATTTTCATATGTGTCCAAAATATTTTGATAATTGTCCTATCTACTGTTTACTTTAATTAGACCATTAGACGAAGTTTTTGACGGGCTTTAATTTGGTATAAAATAGTTGATTATATCATTGATCCATTATGTCGCTAAAGGGAGGGGCGTAAAGGTTTTTTAACACCCTGTATATATGACTTTATATTTTGTCATTTTAACATAAGAAAAGACGATGAGTAAAAGATACACACATTTTCTCCCGATAAACGTGTTTTCAACGCATTAGACATGCGTTTTCAGATGCATATAGAGGCAAAAAATTTTTCACGTGGGAAAGCATACATGACCCATACGAATAAGGATAGAAGAAAAATGTGTAATAAGATGTCCAAATGGCTTTTATCTTTTTCTTTTGGTAGCGTAAGCTTATATGTATCTGAAAGCATATCAATAGAAAGTCAAATTGTATTCACATTTTTAACTGATGCGTCCATCAATGGTTTATATAAATAAAAGTTAAAAAGTTGCTTCAACTCAAACGATTATTCGACTGTTATAAATAAAATAAAGTTAGAGCAAAAAATCACTAATTGACAGATGAAGACAGACATTTGCTAAAACAAATCAATTCCGAGTTATGAGAATTAGACGAATCGTTTATTTCACTTGCTAAACAAATTATTTTAAATGTTGAGTGTAACGATCCCGCTTAAATGTATTGTATGCATGTTTGACCTTTCCTTACTTTGTCCTTATGATTTAGTCAAAACATTGTTCGAATAAATAAAATGCAAGTCGAGTTATTCGCCAAATATTATGAGCGCCTTCTTATATTATTCACTTTCCTAAACTAAATTGAATTGTTTAAATTTTATTTAGAAAAAAATAAATTTAATTTACATAACTAATCTATTTCAACTAATAATAACGTTTATTTAATTTATTTCTATATATCTAGAGCAGAAAATTAATCATGAATTAAAGATATACAAATATGTATTTTATGAAATATGATGATGAAACCACTGGTCGACGATGATTTCTAAAAGAAAAACAAAAAAAAAGACAAGTATTGAATACTAATATTTATTACTCTTACTTTTCGTGATTGATTAATATTGTTTTTTTTGTTGTTGTTCCAATTCTATTTCTTTATTTTTATCCATCTGTTTTTTTCGTCGTGTAAGTTCATAAATTTCATTTTCTATTCTTATTACAAATTCAGTAGGATCTATTAAAGATCTACACACAAAAAGGGAATTTATTTTTGTTTTTGCAATAAATCATCCATAAGAAATCTATTAACTTACCCATTATCTTCATTCACAAACTCATTTACAGGCAATTGCAAATGTAATTGAATATTCTCATCCTAGAAATTCAAAGATGAAGAATTGTAGGTAATGTATAACAGTTAACACTTACCGTCTTGAATTCAATAAAAAAATTTTCATTATCAAAATATTGTTTGGTATGTATGAGAAAATTCTCTCGAAAATAATCAATATCTATTGAATTCGTTTCGCTTTTTACCCAATCGATAGTTTCCTGAAACTAAAACATAAAAGTTAATTAACTGAAAAAAAAAAGACTATTTCTTACTAGGCTTATGAGCAAATCCGGTGGAAGATCATGAATATCTGTTGATTTCTTTTCGCTTTTTATCTCATCCATAATATTATTATACTAAATCAAAAAAAAGTTAATCAACTAAAAGAAAACAATTGATTCTTACTTCATTGTTCTTCACAATTTTAAAATTCATAATTAAAAAAGTCCAATGAACCATAACGATCAATTTTTCTTTCGGATACTCGTATTTGTTTCTATGTGCATGTAAAAGAATGCCAGCACATTTCAAATCACCCATCATAGATATCTATAAAAATTTTTAATAATTTCTGATATATATATATATATAGATAGAAAACAAGAAAGTTATGCTTTAAATTGTAAATAAGTAACAAAAAAAAATTCTATCCCAATAGACCTTAACTAATTATAAAGCCGATCTAATTTCATTTAATAATACAATTTCCACTATGAAAATCATATTTAAAATAGAAACTTTTCAACAATGTATATTATAAATAAAAACTTACCTTTTTTTTTTTTTACAATAACCTTCACTAATAGCAAACTTTAAATAACCTAAACAAAAAATAATATTAATTATTCATTTATACTTATTTTTGGTACAAAAAAAAACAAACTGTACTTTGATAAAATAAATGTAGGATAAGATTACAATGTTTATTACAGTATATTCTATATTTTTTCTTCTGATGTTTCTCTTGTTTATGTTATATATTAACATATATATATATATATATAGTCGTAGAAGAGTTATAATGCTCGACGAAATTATATCACTCGTCAGACAAATTTGACGAAATTATATCACTCGTCAGACAAATTTGACGATGTTGTAATTATTTTATGTGACGACGTTATAACTTTATCAATTTTTGTTCGACGAAGTTAAAATTAAAAATAGGTCAAGCAGTGTAAATTCTTCGTCATATGTATATACGTCAGCGTCCAAATTGACAATACGTTCAATCTCAGATTGATTTAAACAAATATGACAGTCGAAATTGAACGCACATTCATTCCGATTATTCTTTGATAAAATGTGGAATACAAGTTCATTCTAAGATTGAACTGAAAATAGTCAGACGAATCTTGGATTGAGTTAGATCAATGCCAGAATAAAGACACTCTGTTCTGTATTCGATGTTAAGGATCGTGTTTGAACATTATATTCCTATCGAGTAAGTCAGACTTAACTATAGTGTAATAACAAAATATAATGAACGAACATACTGGACAAAAAAAATGAATACAACTGAATGTGATTCATGTTGCTGATTGTCAG